ATTATTAAGGCTGTTAGAATCTTACCATTGTACTCACTACTTTGTTCTATTATTTTCCAAGAGAGATATATTTAAGTCTGACAGACTTGGATTTGTCAGTTTTCTGATGTCAAATCTATTTCAGTTAATGAATATTCAAACTGTTAAAATCTACATTAACAATTTTCCAGGCACAAGTCTTTAATCTCAGCACTTGAGAGGCAAAGTCTGACAGATCTCTGTGAGTTAGAGGCCAACCTGGTCTACTTAGTGAGTTCTAGGACATCCAGAGCTACATAAAGAGACCCTGTCTCAAAAGCAAATGATCCCCCCCCCAAAAAAAAAACAATAAGGACTTTTATATCCTTGAGATGAATTGACCTCCTTATCATTATGAAAGGACACCCTTTTTACATCTGTAATATTAGTTTATGTACTATCTCATTTGTGTGATACTAATGCATCTTCTTCCGCTTTCTTTTGTTTGGGGTGAGTACAGTATATATTTTTCTTTTACCTCACTTATTTCATATTAGACTTGTATTGTGTTTCTTTCATGCAATATATAGTAGAATTTTGGTTGTTTTTCTGTGTAGAGCACTGCCTTTTACCTGGAGAATTTGAGTCATGTGATTACTGTTACGTTCACTGTAAGCAATGGACTTACTGCATATCCTTGGTTGAAAGTGTATCTCTTTCACACTTCACAAGTAGAATCATCCTTAGATTGTCATCTTCAATCTCTTGCTCCATTGTCTTCCATTCTGCATTTTTGTGATGAGAAATATGCTGTCATGTTTCTCTTTGTGCCTCTGTATGTTGTTCTATTGATAAGATTTTGTTTTTTTTATAACAGGTTTTTTTAAATTTGTGCCATGAATAGACATATTTAGTTTTCTTATTACAAAGCTTTCTTACTTATTTTTATTTCTTTATTGGTTGAGAATTTCATATATGCATATAATATATTATGATCAACCTCCATTTCATCCACTCCAATTTCTTGCCTATCCTCACCACCATTAATCCTTCCCTTCTCATTATAAATCTTATTTTCCTGTTTCTTCTCATGCCTCATAATGCTTTGTTCAGTATCAGTCATTGGCTGTGATTTTTTTTTCATTTTTAATGGTAAATGTTTTATACTACTATGCATATTCCTTTATTTCACTCTGAAGGAAAATTTGGTCCTTTAGAGTTTTGTTTTTATAATTAGCCATACAATGTTTGGTCTAGGTATGGCAAGCCCCACATTTAAGCCAACAACTGAGTGCTTTCTGGGCATCTAGTATCCAATAAGCTTTGATGTTTTCTAGTCCCATTGGTTGATGGAAACACTACTCCCAACCCTGCGTGGATTTGTTATAATCCTTTCAGGTGACGTTTTCCCTACGTGCAGGTAATTCCTTCATAGTATGTGCTGATCATTACTTTGCTGAAAGCTCACGGAAAATCTACAGCACATTCCTGAAATCTTTCCTTTCTAACCATCTGCCAGGATAACAGCTCAGATCTGATCTCCATAGACACTTTCCTGTCTACAACTCCTAAAATCTTCTCCGCATGTCTGAGATTCCCCTTATCTGTACCACAAAGACATGGAAACATTCTTAGGTTTAGAAATTTCAGGGATTTCCATTCCTGGGTGCTCACTGTTGGGTGGCTTAAAACTTATGGTACCTATATTTTGTCTAATCATTTATTGTTTTGGGTGATAAGATAAATTTGGTCCTTATTATTTCATCATTGCTAGAATCAGAAGTGTCTGGATCAGACATGTTCTTATAACACCTCATCACTCATTGATGAGTACAGTGAAACACAGGAGTATCTTGTTTAAGGTCAGACCCTAAAGGCACTGAAGTCAGGGTTTAAGCTCAGATATTCAATTCCAGAAACTGAGATATTCAAGTTCATTCTGGAGCACTAGTCTATACAGTTTTGTTTTGTTTTTGTAACTTGGCACTTGAAAGTATTACTTATTTTTATATTATTAATTAACAAAACAGTACTGAAAATAAAAAAATGGATATGTGACCAGAAGTATTTTATAGGTAAAACTATATATATGCAGTCAGGGAACTGTATGTAGATCACATAAACTAACGAGAGTCCAGAGTTGTGAGGTAAGATGTGCTAAAATGTTCCAGAACAAGAATTCCCCAAACCTAGTCTGAGTTCACTATGTTATGGTTTAAATTCATTTTCATCTTGCTGAACCTTAGCTATTTGAAACATCTATGTAATGTCTATGCTTGAGTACTGCTGTTCTTTATGTTATTAGTTTCTGACAAGGATGATTAATGGAAATGCCATCGGCTCACTTTGCTAGAACATTGTAAATGAAAAGCTAAGGTAATTATGCAGAACTTTGTATTGAGAATAAGAAGACAAAAGGAGGTAAACGTTGTCCAGCATCTACTGTCATGTTTGGTTTCAGTTGTTTTATTCTAAAAATGAGGCAGCATGTCATTTTATGCCTGATAAGTATACGCAAGTATTAGACTGTATGTGTACATACACTCTCATTGACAATCCACCATGACATTTTACAATCCCTTCCCAACAACGACACTGTCTAATTAACACTATGTCTTGTTGATTCCAGTAGCTTCCAATTACTCTTCATTTGGTAATTGAGAAAGTGATGCTTATTGCAAACCTCAAAGCAAAAGAAAAAAAAATACTGAAATGGTTTCTCTTTTTCTTCTCAATCTCCCTCTTTATGTCTAGACATTAAAATTAATTTGTGCAAAGCTCATGGCATACTGCAGAGTAGACACTTAATGACTGACATCTTAGGTTTCTATGAATAAAACTTTGGGAGGATATAAATGCCACAGAGAGACAGAGAAGGAAAGAGAAGGAGAAGAAAGAGGAAATGGAAACATAGTAGCACAGCAATTATCATAACTGAATCCACTCAGAAATAGACATCAAGCCCTGTAGGTAAAATAATACACAATACAAATGATTTGGGTGGTTTTTTTGATTGTTTGTTTTTGTTTTGTTTTGGCTTGATCAAATTCAAGCCAGTCAAAGATCCAACATGGATGGGAGAGAGGTTCATGAGACTCCACCCCAGCTGACCGCTGCTGGCAGTTGATGGATACTGAGGGAAAATCACTTTGGGGCTGTGACTGCTGGCAGTTTGCCTAGGCTCTAGTAGATGATCACACATCTATGTACATATAGTCAGCATTAAAAGGATCCAGAGGCTAATAATAATAATAATAACAATAATAATAATAATAATAACAATGATATGAGAGGGAGGCTGAGGGGAGTTGAGGGAGGTTGTGGGGGACAGATAAGATAACAAAACATCACATGCTTGTATGGAATTTGCAAAGAATGAATTAAAAATGTTTTAAAAATAAAATAAACTGACAAATATAAGTAAAGTTAACATATCAAAAGCCCCCTGAAGTGGCAAAATACCCTATAAGTCAGTGGTTCTCAACTTCCCTACTGCTGAGAGCCTTAAATACAGGGTTGTGGTGACCCCAAGTATATAATTATTTTTGTTGCTACTTCATAACTGAAATTTTGCTACTGTTATGAATCATAATGTAAATATCTATGTTTTCTGATGGTCTTAGGCAACCCCTTTGGAAGGGTCATTCAGCCCCTAAAAGGGTCACCACCCACAGGTTGAGAACTGCTACTATAAGTAGAGAAACAGAATTGGACATCATGTCAATGCTTTGGATAGTCTTTATTCTCAAGGGATGTTTTTAGGCTACTGTAACAGGAATTAAAATGCAAAACTGAGCCGGGCGGTGGTGGCGCACGCCTTTAATCCCAGCACTCGGGAGGCAGAGTCAGGCGGATCTCTGTGAGTTCGAGGCCAGCCTGGGCTACCAAGTGAGTTCCAGGAAAGGCACAAAGCTACACAGAGAAACCCTGTCTCAAAAAACCAAAAAAAAAAAAAAAATGCAAAACTGACTGAAGAACGATTGGAGAAAGAAAGAGGATATGTTTATTTTAAAGGTAGATATTCAGGATAAGTGGAAAACACTTGCTTCTTCCCTGTCGCTACCATTTTTTACCAATTTTGCTGTTCCAATAACTGTGATGTCTATCATAATTTGCTTATAAATGCTTCAAATTAAAGCAGTACAGTCTGTCTGTTTAAAACCACTAAAAATGTAACAGTAGCATAAAATGCTGCAAATATTTAATATAATAGCCATATACACTAGCAGACTATTTTGAACAGTAAATATAGACATACTATTATTTTCCCCTTTAAAACTCCCTTTAAATATCTCACACAATCACCTCTATGAAACATCTCAACTGGCATTTTCTCTTGCCTTTTGTGATTGACTAACAGTTTTGTTTCCAGGCCTCAAACACTGAATCACTTGCATCTGTCCTCCAGTGTTTTGTATACCCCTTTCCAGACAGTAGAAACAGGAACGTTCAGGTGAGAGGTATTATCTGCAGCTTCCAGGACATACTAGTCCTTGGATATTTTAAATATTTCATCACAGGCTGTAGAAACATGCATTTTGGAGAGAATTGAGTATCCACTTCTGTAAGATATTTCTGTAGTTGTAAAAATTATTCTGGGGAAATTGCTTTTTTCCCCCTCCTTATCATTTAATAGCCTGCTTTGAAGTGCAACCACTCTCTGGAGAGATAGGCTCTCTCCCCAATCATATTGCTGCTAAGAAAGTGGCCCTACTGAACTTTTTCATCAAATTCATACCAATCTTTTCTCCAGACCCAGGTTTGTATTTTTTAAAAATAATGTATGTATGTAGCTCTGAATTGAAAAGTAAATGGTATCCAAGTCTGAGTGACTTACCAAATAAATGATACATGGAAATTGCAGCCCTGTTCTCTCTTGAATTGTCTCACAAAATTGGTTTAATGAGATGAAGATGACAATTAACTTTTTCCAATTATCATTTCTGAAATTCAACATTCAGTAACTGTGTGTCAAAGGGAGCTCCACAAATCCTTCAGGGGTCAGTAACTAAACAGCAGGAAGGGAGTTTAAATGACCTTACCTTCTCCTTTTGAAATGAATTTCAGTATTCTCTTACTGGGACTCTTTCCATTTCCAAATATAAGGGCATGGTCATTGCCCTTCCTTTGCTCCAGCATGCTAGGAAAACAATATATTTTAGAAATCTGGGAAGAACTTCATCTTTATCGAGCTAGGAAGAAGCACACCGACCTGCAACCAAGGCCCAGGGGGACCAGAGAGAGCTGGATTAAATATAAAGACTTTTGTTCCTAGCATTAGGCAAACTGCACAGCTCTTGTTTCTTTTCTAAAAATGGGAGGAGTGATCACTATATTATAGAACTAGAATGAGAATCAAATAGATAGCATATGTACAAAAACTACTAATAAATACTGTCTTAGAGTTTCTATTGCTCTGAAGAGACATCATGACCATGGCAATTTTTATAAAGGAAAACATTTAATTGAGGGTGGCTTATAGTTTCAGAACTTTAGTCCATTACCATCATGGCAGGACATAATGGTGTGCAGGCAGACATGGTGCTGGAGAAGGAACTGGGAGTTCTCCAACTTGACATGCAGGTAGCAGAAGGAGAGACTGTTTGCAGTGGGTAGTCGTTCCAGCTTTGACCTGGAAATACTACCTGTACCATTGAGGCTTCCAGTAACTGTCACGCCTACCTATGGCCTGCTCTAGAGGCTGGGCAGAGATGGGAGCCCTTAAGTCCCGAGATCTGGATGTGCTGGCTCTCTTGGTTCCTGGCAATCCTGGATGTTGAATGGTAGACAAAGCAGAGTTCTCTAGAGAACACCGCTGGACTGCACTTCACCTCTCCCAGATCCTGTAACTTATCCCTTTACTTGTAAGTAAAACCCCCAAATAAACCTCCCTTTTAACTATATGGGGTTGCCTTAATACTTCCACCAATAACACTTGGCTTAGCTTGAGCATAGGAGACCCCAAAGCCTGCCTCCATAGTAATACACTTTCTCCAGCAAGGCCACACCTCCTACTAGTGCCACTCCCTATGGCCAAGCATTCAAACATGTGAGTCTATGTGGGCCATTCCTATTCAAATCACCACAAATACCAATACCTTCTTTACTCATGATAAATGCGATACAATGAGTTTGGTTCTTATGAACCAACAAAAGCAGAGAAATCAAGTTTCTGCCAATATTTACCTGCCCAAGTTTGTGGCATGTGGGCCAATTACAGCTATAAGTAAAATTGTCTTTTCTTAGGATATTTTTCCAAAGAAATTTCATAATTCATCTTGATATCCTCAATCCACTGAAGCCCCAGAGGGAATTACATGACATGGCCAGCTAGAAGAATTATAATACTTGGTGGTTTACCTAAGCTTAGCCCATTCTTCAACTTGCTAGTCTACTGTGATAAATGCTAACTGAACACTAAACCTACACCTTATCTATAAGTCTGTTATCTAAGAATTTACAGGCTATATCTTCATTAAAAAATAATCTACATATAAAATTATTAAAATATACTTGTCTATAAATTATATACATGTACCTGTGCACTAAAGTACTCTGTATATTTCAAAATATAGACCAAAAGTAAATGAAAATAGAAGTTCTATTTTCTCCACATTAGAGTAGGTCATCTTAGCATGCTTTTGTTGTAGATATTTGTGTGGTAGTGGGGATGGGATGGAGTACAATCATTTCTTATAGGTTGTTATAAATATTGTAAGGGTATAAATTGGCTACATTTGTCCTGTGGCAGATTCTTCTCACTTTACAGGCAGCCAAGTCAATCTTCTTTATTTTACCAGAATTGGAAGAAAGTGGGCTATTGGTGGTGTCCCAACAAATGCTTTTGCTAGCTTTCTGACGTTGTAATAAAATATTACAATGTGTCCTTTGAGATTACAAAACTGCCTTGAATCCCTGAAGAGAGTCAGGTGCAATTTTTCATGCCTTCTCTAAGATTTTCACAACTTCCTGGGATAGTTTGCACTTCCATGTCTGCCTCTGTCTTCACTTATCCTACTCATGTGAAATTCTCTATTTACTTCTTGCTGTCCCTCAGAGGCTTTCTCTTCTCTGCCACTTACCCATCAGAAGAACACGAGACATCAGTACTGATCATTATAACAGACGGAGGAGGAGTGTGCCATTATAGCACAGAACAACAGAGTAATGTTGTTTATCCTACAAACTCTAATCATAAAGATTCCCCAAGTCTTTTTCTGTCTCAGTGTGGAGCTATATTGTAGACGTCCTTGATCTTAGGGCATGGTGATTGTCAGTCTCTTTCATGATTATCCATCTATTTGTCACACACTATGGTGAATTTTTTTTTCAATGACTCTGGTCAAGAAACTCAAAGAGAACAAAGAGATGAATGAAATAGGAAAGGCAATCTGAGACATGAAAATGCAATCTGAAAAAAAATTTTTTTAGAGACACAGTTTCACTATGTATCTCTGGCTGGCCAAGAACTCACTATCTAGAGCAGGTTGGCCTAAACTCACAGAGATCTGCCTGCCTCTGCTTCTCTAATCCTGAGATTAAAGGATATGTGCCACCACACCCAATGCCAGTCAGATTTTTTAAAGAAAATGAAAACTGAAGCAATGCTACATATGAGAAACTCAATGAGACAATTAAAAGTTCTGAAAAGCATCACCAATAGAATGGATCACACTGAACATAGAGAGTCAAGGAGGAAAGACAAGGAAGAGGAGTTGGATCCCTTAGTATAGGCCAGTGAGAAGCATCCTCAGCTGCAGATGGATATATCTATACACAGAAGTCCCTACATGCTCCCCTACAAAATCCCTGTAGTTGATAAATACATTCAGAAAAGTAGCAGGATACAAAATTCAAACAAATGCACACCAATAACAACAACAAAAATAATAGCTTCCCTATATACAAATGACAAACATACAGATAAATACATTAGGAAAACAACACCATTCATGATAGCTTAAAAGTAAATCTTGGAATAAATCTAGCCAAGGAGGTGAAAGACTTACACAATGAAACCTTAAGACACTGAAAAAAGAAATTGAAGACTCAAAAAGGCAGTCCTTCCATATCAAGGGATTATTAGGATTAATATTGTGGAAAATGCCATCCTACCAAAAATAATCTACAGATACAAGACAATCTCTTCCAAAATTCCAATACAATACCTCAAATAAATTTTAAAGATAGTAATCTAAAATTATATTTGGAAACACCAAAAAACCATGATAGCCAAAAACAATCCTGAATAATAAAACACTACTGGAGGAATCACCATCCAAGATTTCAATTTATACTACGACACAATAGTAATAAAACCCACATGGTACTGGAATAAAATAGACTCATTGATCAATAGAATAGAATTGTGGACCCACAGATAAGACCATATTCATACAGCTACCTGATTTTTAACAGCATTATTAAAAATATACACTTGGAGAAAAGAAAGCATCTTCAACAAGTGGTATTGTTCATACCAGACAGCTAAATGTAGAAGAGTGGAAAGTAGATCCTTGTCGCTTACTCAATACAAAATGCAACTCTAAATGGAACAAGGACATCAATATAAGATTCAGTACTTAAATCAGATAGAAAAGAAAGTAGGGATACCTTGAACTTACAGGAATAGGAAAGAAGCAGGAATTAAGATCAACAATCAATACATGGACATCATGAAACTAAAAAGTGTCTATACAGCAAAAGATGCGATCATTTGAGTTAACAGACTGCCCATAGAATAAGACAAAAAACAAAAAAAAACCTTAACAGTTATACATCTAACAGAGAGTTAGTATCCAGAACATACAAAGTACTGAAAAAAAAAAAAAAACCCTGAATATCAAGAAAGCAAACAATCCAATTTAAAAATGGGGCATGAAAATAAACAGAAAGTTCTCAAATGATGAAATACAAATGGATCTAAAATTTCTTTTTAAAAAATCAGCATCCTTATCCAGAAAGGAAATGCAAATTAAAACTACTTTGAGGCTTCATCTTACCCCAGACAGAATGGCTAAGATAAAACAAAAGCAAAAACATCATTAATGACAAATGAACAAATCCTGGCTTGGATATGGGAAAAGAGAAAAGTGTAGCATTTATTTACTGCTGGTGGAAATGAAAACTGGAACAGCCACTATGGAAATCTGTGGAAGTTTCTTATAAAACTAAAAATAGATCCACCACTTGTTGCAACTATATCACTATTGAGCATATACCCAAAGGACTTATATCTGACTTATAGAGGTACCTACTAGTTCATGCTTATTACTGCTTTATTAATAAGAGCTAGGAAATGGAAACAGCCTAAATGTTCAGCAACTGATGAATAAATAATGAAAACGTGGTACATTAACATGATGGAATATTATTCAGCCATTAAGAAAAATGAAATTCACAAATAAATGGATGGAGCTAGCTCATCTCTGAGTGAAATAAGCCAAACCCAGAAAGAAAATTTTCACATGGTTTCTCTCACTTGTACATAATAACTTTTGTTTTATATGAGATATCCATAGAGGTCAGGAATTTATTAAGGGGTCATGGAGGAATGTTGAAGGCAGAGAGATAGAATGCAATAGTATAAAGGCTTAAAAGGAAGTTAAAAAAATCAGGAAGGGCTAAATTGGTGTGGGGGATGGGAAGGTGGGATAGACAAAAGACTATAGTGAAGAATAACTAAGACAAAAGTGATACAGAAACTTACCTACAACTGTAGAAGCCTCCGAAAATATATACATACACACACATATATATAAAGAGTTTACGTGGACTTATCCTACAATGGGGGTGGAGTACTACAATGCCCCCATAGGGTAACAATCAAAAGTCTGGTGCCAGTACTAGGCTATCTTTTTTGGAGTTGTTGGCCAGTGAGCTCTCACAGACCCACAAAGATTACAAGTATTGCCAGTACTATTGTTAACCTCCAGAACTAGACAGGAAGACCCTATGCTGCAGACATTCCATACTTGATATACAGAACACGATAAAATCAAGCTGGTATAAACTGAGCTTTATCCCTACTGGGTAAGTTTCATAGTCCTAGAAAATGCTATACTTATCACCAGAAGACAAATGTAATAATCAGTCATACCCAGCTGTGCATCCTGTGTGCTACAATAATGACTGGCCTG